CATCTCTATCACTGCACGTGCTTTTGAAGCCTTTCCAGGAATGGCCCCATCTCCAGCTTTTCTCACTGACACCGGTGATGTGACAGTGTCCCAAGAGCAGGTGGGACCTCAGTACCTGAGGTGTTTCCAGCTCTTTCATAGCAAGGCACGGCTACATCTGACTGCACCCAGCCCTTCTGCTGTGCCCCAGGGCCTGGCCCCACTTGTGCTCTGGCAGTGAGCAAACGCGAGTGAGACCCCCCCCGCCCCCCTCAGAAAACCTTGTTGAGGCAACCAAGCCTAATGACAGCGCTGTGGGGCCAATGCTGTGTTTTGGATAGCAACAAGATCTTTTCCTCCCATTTTGTCATTTAAACACCCTGTGCCCTTTTTTCTGAACTGATTAGAGCTTATTTCCCAGTTGAGATCCCAGTGTGAGATGCTACACTCTGCCTGTCTGAGTTCTCCACAACACATAAAGTGTTTTCTTTTTTCGTCTTCCAAAATGATGTTTAGAATTGATGTATACTCTAAAAAGGCTGCTGCAATGCCTGAATTTGCACCTTAAATTCTGTGCATCACGCATCTTACAGGGGTTTATGAAGCTTCACTGAAGTTAGTGAAAGCATGGGGGTATGTTTGCCTGAGAAAAGACCAACTGTCAAGTAAAGGACATCAAACTATAGCTGACAGTTATGATGACTATCATTGTTACTATGACTTATCTCTTGACCTAAGTAAAGAACACCTCCCACTGCCATTGGGTATACGGTGTTACGATAGAAGTGAGAAAGATGTAACAACAAATATCATCTAAAGGAAGTTAAAGCAAGAGAGGAACACAGCCATATCTCTGCGTAAATGGGAAAGTACATAGCAAACCACAGCGCCAGTCCTTCTATTTGCAAGTACAGTGACTAACCACTGCCTTTTCCCTTGCTACCTCCGGCTTGGCGCTGGTCGCACTGCTGGCCAGACAGGGAGCCCTGGCGTGAGCCAGCCCTCCTCCCGTGGAGGGAGGCATGGAGTGTGGCTCCAGTGCTAGAATAAATGTCAAAGTGGTGAATCTGGCATTGGGAAAATGGCAGTGACAGATCAGTGTTTGCATTTAGTATGCTTGCCACAGCAGTCACGTCAAGGAAACTGTTTTCTGCCTGGCTCTGATATCTGGTCTATCCAGCTCGTTAACTAATGGCTGACGCGGATAGCAGCGATATGGGGGCATGGCTCTGTGCGACTGCTGAGCAGGTCTCATGCGTAGCAGCTTCGGAAAGGGGCTGTTCCTCCCCCCTCACCCTACTGCCATCTCCTTGGCACCTCCAGTGGCAGGGAGGCACTGGGACCATGCAGCCGAGGGAGCCCAGGGCACGAGTGCCCTTCTAGCTGCCAGCTGGTGGGTAGATAAACTTAGCTGCAACCTGAAACTTTAACAACACCAGGAGTTGCACAGTAAGTTTTAGTCACATGCAGATCAGCTGCAAGTCGCATTAAATTGTGCTCAAGTTAAAACAGAGCCAGAGGTACAGGTGACAGGGTCAGGCAGCTGATCCTGCCTTACTTGAGCTCTTCATCTACATCCTAGTGCCGTTAGGCTTTCCACAGCCTCCAGTGAGGCAATCCTTCCTTTGATGTGACTCAATGATCTTTTCAGGCGGTTTATTCCACAACCTGATCTGCTTTAGCACTGAGAAGTTTCTCTATACCTGACCTGAATCTCTGCTTCTTTACATAGAGAGGATCAGCCTTCATTTTATTCCTCACAGTCTGGGTAAGGGGAAACTATTTTTCATTTTAAATGTTTGTGCAGCATTATTATCTTCCTCCAGATTTTGGCTTTTTATTGCAGAAGCAGGGAAATAGAAGGCATATCAAGACAGAGATAGAAATAGAGATAGAGATTGTCAGAGTACATTATGGGAGAATCTGAGCGTGTTGTATTATCTAGACTATGTGTAGGTCTTTGTGTAGGAGGATGCTTTTGTTCATATTCACTAAAAAATATACAAATATACACACATACACATTAATTCCCATCATTCTTCCTGTTTATCATAACAATTCCCCATTAATTAGTTGGTCTTTTAATCTTACACAAAAATTCTGTCCTCTACAAAAGAAAAAAATCTGAATAACCTCTAAATGCAGCCAAGCTTCAAGCATAGTGCAGTCTCCATGATAGAGGCACTAAGAAGAATTTTTTCCCCTACATGTCACTTACTGAGCTTTGTGAGCCTTTTTCTGGAGCAGCTGGTACTAGGGCAGGATACCGGTGTAGATGCCTCAGCAGCTTGATCCTGTATAGTAATCGTTATTTCTGCAGTTTTAATCGAGTTATACATTCCCGAGACCATGATTTATAAATATTATCTGATTCCACATTAAGGGAGACACAGAGCTAGTGCTCAATAGTATAGGACAGTGTATGAGCAAAAGCCCCATACCTTCTGCTGCCCATTTGTTGTATTTTCCGTAGCTCTGCTTTGTACTTCTGCTGCCTGTAATGCTGGATATCCCCAGAAAGGCACCCCACTGACTTTCTGCCAGACAACAGCCCCCCAGTGTTGTTGCAGGCATGAGATATGTAACGATGACTTTGGCTGCTTCCTCCGCCCTGACCACACCAGAGTGGGTTTTACTTGCCCTGTTCCTGCATCTCTGCACAGCATAGAGGACTTGCATCCAAATGCTTGATACCAAATGACTAGAGCTCAGACCCACACTTGAAATATGACTCGGTCCTCGCCTTAGATGCTTGCTGTACTGCTGTGTTGGGCTTGAGCAGAGTACAAGCTGTGGGTGACCAGGCAGAGCTTGGGGCTGTGGATATTCAAGAGTCGCACGTCTACACTCCAGGCCAAGTGCTGACCCATGAGACCGCCAACAGCTTCCCCTCCCCCTTGCGGAGCTTAGCACTAGTGCTCCTCTCCCAGGCAATTCGTATCTATGTTCCTGGTTGAGCTTCCCAGATTTTGCCCTGAAAAAAGTCCATGGCCACACCAGTCTCTGTTTATGAAGAAAGGCTCATTGGTTTTGTTTCTATGAAGACCTAAACACATCTCAGAATCCCGAAAACTGCTGGAAAAGCAGCAGTCCTCCCTGTGATTTAGTTTTAGAAGATACTGATTTCATTCCTAGAAGGTAGTGGTAATGCTGGCCATAATCATGGGGGCTATGCCTAAGAAGAAAGAGAACTCCCCTCCAACTAATTTTGACTGACTGAGTACATTACAGCAGAAAACCATACAGAGAGTGGATAAAAATGCTCCCTGGTATGATAGGTTCTGCCTTAGTGGGACAGATCCATGACTGCTTCACATCAAGGTTGTGTCAGTGTAAATTTACTGAGGAGAAGAACTGTTATCCTTCAGTCGCAATACGTTTAATTTACCCGGATCTCAAACAACTGGTTAATGATTTAATGTGACGATGCTAATAAGTTTTTTTTTAAACCCTGAATAGCAAAATGATGAGAGGGAAAACCCAGAGGAAGGGTAATGATTTCTGGCTTTTCAAAGTTGCCCTTTCTGAGAGAATCATTTACCGTGTTTGGAGCCATCATAGTGAACCAGGTGAGAGATGGCATTTCCAATAATCAGCTCCTGAAAGGCAAACTGAATGCAGTCTGCCTGTGAAAATTGGGTAAGGACTGAATTATGCATGGAAGAAAGGAGGACCATATCATTTGCACAGCAAGCCATATATTTTTCTCTCTCCATGTTCTCTTTTTGCCTCAGCAGCCTTCCCTAGCAAAACACTGAAATAAAATCCTCGCCTGTGGGAACATAATGAATAATTCTTTTCTGGACATATTCAGCCTAGCCCAGGGATGGCCACTGGTCTTAGTAGCGTAGCACTTGGATGAACAAAGTCTAATTAGCTTTCTGGCCCAGTAATCTGAAACGTCCTATTAAAAATTTCAACAAAAGATGCTAGCAGAGAAAGATATGCTTTTTATAGCATTCATTGCGTGAGCCCATTTCTTTAAGAACATCCTTTTCAGTGACCGAGATGCTTCTGTAGCTGGTAGGAGCTTGCACACTGCTGCAACTGCCCTTCATGTTCGTACTTTGGAAAGAAAAAGCTGCAGATGGAGCATGGGCTAGCCAGTGGAGTGCGTGCGAGGCAGACGTCTCCTTCTGCCAGCCGTCTCTGTCCCCACTCTCGCAGCAAATGTCAGATAAAGAAGAACTAGGAAACTGTTTTGACTGACATGGCTATTCCCATTTGACCTCTGTGGGGCATGGTATCTCTCCCTCCTCGTCTGCTAGTGGTTTATCTCTATTTATTTACTTTTTCTGCCTTAAGTTCCCTCTGTCAGTCAAGAAGTGAGGCCTATTTTCAGGCCTGAACTGACACTCATCTAATTTTTTAACCTGTTGTTTTCTCCATTTACCGTGCATTTGCATTACTGCTTTTTAAGTACTGGTCCTTCATTATGTATCCACGGTATTTTTTTCCTTTAATTCTTAAATTTATCTCTATTAAATATGTCTGTTAAAAAACGCTTCTTTTGCCGAAGTTGATAGTTTTCTCTGAGATTTTATCAGCTTACCTGAATTTTTATTTCTGTATCATTTGAAGACTAACCACTCTACAGCTGGTGGTTTTGGCTTGCCCATTAATAAAAATTGTCAGGACTGAAGGAAGAGTTTGGCCATTTAAGGAATGTTTTCAGTATTGCTAAGAGAGCCTGCTGAGAAACAAACAAGTTTATATTTGATATGATTCCATATTAACAGAGGTTGACCTTATCTGAGGGCAGCCTTAAAAGGAAAGTCTGTTCAGTCCCAGGCTTGAGAGTAAACAGACAAGTGGTCCTTATGTAAGTAGTAATAAGTGCTTACAACATTGCTCAGCTATCTTCATTGTTCCTAGCTGTACTTGTGCAATACTTTTGTTTGTTTAATTTCCTTTCTCCACTGTAATCTTAATGTAGTTGTAATGGATTTGATTATATGTTGCTCTTCTTGGC